CCCGGATATTCCAATCAGATCTATATAAAATTTACTCCACTACAAATTTATTTAAATGCCGCCACAAGTACTGTCTGCACCTAACTAAGGCAACACCTTCCTCAGCAMAGACACAAAGTTCTGGCGATGGAGGCCATGATTGCTCAGAAATGAAAATACACCCATGCTCTGAGTACAGCTGCACTTGAAAAGAAAAATCACAGTGACATTTCTAGGTCCATAATCTAAAATGATGCATTAAATTTAATGGCATTTCTATCAATTAAATAATGGTTCTCAAAATTTTACTGAAGTGGTTTTAATTCAGATATTTTACTGTAGTTTGAAATTTTCAAGATAAGATCACAAAACCAAGCCATAGGAGACAATTCGTAAGCTGAACCACAATTTAAATCCCTCAACTGGAAACTAACATTAAAAAAATTAAAAACTCAGGTTGCCTGCTCAGAACATCTTAACTCCCTATGGGCTATGAAAATTAAATACAGCCAGGATAGAGGGTAGTTTGGCTGCAAAAGACAGTTTTTCAAGCTGTGCCTGCCTGAAGTCTGAACTGTCCCCACTGCATGTTCTAAAAATCATGATTTGAGTTTCAATACAATGTTATAAACCAGAGAATACAAGTAAACTGTATTTCCATTCTAATATGGAAAATCATAAAATTGAGATTATTAAATAGGAACGAGTAATATTCCAGTAACACTTAGAATTAAAATTTCTAAACATCTGTTTGAATTTTTCTAAATGCTCATCCCAATGCTCAAGTCAAAACAGCAGAAAAGGCTGTAGTGGACTTGTTCCTCTTCCCCACCCCACAGCACAGAAAGCAGAGCCCACTCCTCCACAAGTGTCAGTCTCAAGTGCCAGCTGGGAACAGAGGTCCAGGCAAGATGTAAGGATGTACAATAACATTACTGGAAGAATGGACAGAGTTGCAATTACCAGCCTCCAGCTCTCCCTCCCAGAGCCCTGTGTCCTCTGCCCACCCTGCYCTGAGCATGTAGAGCTCACTACCTCTCAAACCCAAGAGCCTGTGATGAATCCTGAGGAGATGCAGGTCCACTCTTCTTGGCACCACAGCTGGGGCTCCCAYGCTGCTCTCCTGCTCCAAATTCACGGGCCTTTTTTCCTTGCTGCCCCTCCCTCCCCTCAGACCCACAACTCTAGGACACAGCAGTGGTTCCCTCCCCAGATCCTGAATTGCTTCTCCTGTGTCCATTGTCACCCTCCAGCCTCCCTCAAGGCTGCTGTCATCCACAGCTGTACTTTCCTTGGCCAATCCCCTGAACTGTCCCTTCACTGCCATGCCAGAATCCAGGCGTACTTTGCTAGAATCCAGGTGTAGTTCACTCCCTAAGGAAAAAACACTCCTTTAGCTTTTCCAGCCTCTTTCCATCAGCTCTCCTGAACTTCAGCTCATTTAGTGACAGGTTCTGTGGAGACTTYTTCCATCTTCTGAGCAGGCATCCTTTGCCAATCTTACTCCTATAATCTATTCTTGCATTCTGCAGCCTCCTTTTAAAAATCTTTAAAAATTAGGCAGTATATTTCAGATAGATGYCAAATTTATTTAAATTACATTCAGTCTATCCATTCAAACTGAGTTACCACTTCAAGTGAAAACGAGTTCTGGACCTCTCATATCATAGCCCTCTAGTGATGCAGAGCAGTGCCCATCACCAGTGACTCAACCTACTCCCACTGAGATAATGTGCTGCTCGTGCTCCTTCTTTCTATGCACCACTTCTTTTGCTCCCACAATCYTTTTATCCACGTGGAAAACTTATTYACAGGARTCAGGTGGTTTTATCSAGATTTTTTAAAAACAGATTCAGAATTCACAATACTGGACTAGACCAAATCCTGCATCCCATCTCAAACGTGACCAACACCAGTTGTTTTAAGAAYATTATAAAACAAGCACCAAAAATATGCTACCTTACTCTATTACCTCCCAGTTTCCAAACAYTTTCAGCTCACATGCTTCCTGAACTAGGCAAGATTTGTGTAATTCATAACCTCAATGGATTTTTTTCCACAGACTAAGAAAAGRTTTCCCTGTGGACTCTCATAGACTTCTACCATTTGTGTCAGTAGCAAGGGATTCCACCTCATGTGCCCCCTGCAACGAGAACCATCACTTTTTCTTTTGAACCTGTTTTTCATTACCTCTGATGCCCTTCTTGTAAAGAAAAAAAACATGAAGATCATACCATATATATCCTCACCCTACCACCTGCACCTGCTTTACTTTTCCAGCCTGCTCAGAATGTGACAAAGCAGGAAGGCTTTGGCAGCAGCTCAGAGATCTACAAGCAATCCAATCACTTCCAGAGAGTAAGATTTTTATTACCAAGTTCAGCTCGTTCAAACCTCATTTTCCTCCTTCACACTATTACTCTATGTATTTTAATCACACTTAATTTAGCATTAATTAACATAGTCTCTCTAGCAGGTTGCTTGACACAAAAAGAAGATCCCTACAGTACCTGCAGGCAGATATCCAAGTCTCTTGCCATGAAGATCCCACTCCTTGGGTGGTGTCAGTTTGGCAGGGAACGAATTGTTACTCACCTTTAATTCTCATTTCTCTCTCTTCCTACTGCCCTAATTTCCCAGTCCCATTTTCACTTTGGAGCACATAGGGACAGAGCCAGTCAAATATGTTACACATCAGAAAGAAGTTCAACTATTGCCAGGCTTGCTAAGTTCCTGCACCACTGTCTGCAGTCCTGGGATTGTTTTGAACACACTTTGTAAGGTTCTGAGCTTGTAAGAGAGCATTGTGGTTCAGACAGCTTAACAYACCAGTGCACATGGGATTTCAGTAAAGACCCAAAAGCTGGTTTTGAAATGTATATGCTGCTCTTATCCAGTCTTTGAGTAAGCAAAGGCTCCTCTTACTTACTATGTAATCATTGTCCTCATCCTTGGGGCCTTCGCTGTAGTACACACGGTACGCTTTAGCCACTTGGTCAATCTGTGCCTTGGTACCCGTCAGCCCAACCAGCTTCGGAGAAAATTCTAGACAGAATAAAGACATTTACACATTTTAGTGAAAAGAATCCCTTCAAGAGGCTCATTTTCASTGCTCTGTATTACATGCTACAAGACATGGAGGAAGAAAGCAGGAATACCTTTAACATATCTGGCAATGGCTTCTTGGCTGTCCCTCTCAGGATCGATGGTGATGAAGAGTGGGGTCAGATTAGGCAAAGATGGAATTCGATCTGTGATGTTAACAATTATTTATTTTAGAAAACCAGAAATCATCTCTCAACTCCCTTCAAACAAGCTCATAGCCAAGTAACAACAATCCAACCCATCCCAAGTGACCAAAAAAAACCATACTGGGCAGCTTTATTTATGTAACTCATGAAGGAAGCAAATGCCATGASATGCGATGCTCTGTGTCTGTGCTGGGAGCTTCCAGCCCTCTAGCTAGAGACCCTGCCCAGGTCAGCAGGGATGACAGGGATGGCACTGCTGCACAAGATGCTGTGGTGTGATGCATGTGTTGGAACACTGGCTGACACAAGGAAAGCAYCAGGATGGTCTAGAAGGAAACGTGAGGACACAATCCGGGCTCTTTCCTTCACGTTCCAGCCAAAGCTTTCACCTGGGTCTGACTTCCCCCATGCTGCATTTCTATTATTCCTGCTCAGTAATTGTTCAGGGCCTGCAGGCTAAGAAAACACCCCTAACACAGAGCCTTCCCCCTCATCCATTCCACAGCACAGCCACTCTGCTTCAGCAGAGAACCTCATGGAGATGAATAAAACAGAGAGAAAAAATCCTARCATACCTCACAGTCACTTCTTTGCAAAAATACAATGCAATCTATTTCCTGTAACATGCCACCATCTTTTTATTCCCCAATCCCCTGCTGTGGAAAGACCAGTGCTGTCCTGTCAGATCCTAGTGATAGGCAGATTGAACTATGTACCACTTAGCAATTAATTTGACTACTGAACAATAGCCGACAGCATTTTTTAAAAAGTATTACCAGTTATCACCATTTGTGGTATTTTATCAGAATAAACCTAGCCCTCCCAAAACCACTGTATATAGACCCCTATGCCAACTGAATTCCCATACCAATTTCATCAACAACTGCAATCATTTTCTCCAGYTCATCAGGACAGATGTCAGGGCAGTGAGTGAAGCCAAAGTAGATCAGCACCCACTGGCCAATGTAGTCCTTGCTGGTCCTGGGTTGTCCCTCATGGCTGACGAGTGAGAAGGGCCCTCCTAGCAGTGGCTTTCCAATGCCCCGGTTCCGTTCCTTCTCCAGTTCTACAAAACACAAGTGGGGATTAAACACATCCACACCACAGCCGAGTCAAACACAGCTTAGAGTCATGTCAAGAGCCACCAACTCCTGTCACATGGTAACTCGATGTGTATAWGCCTTCCAGAAAGCATTTCTTTCGGACAAAATCAAATAGATCATCAAATGCTTTTGAAACATGACATTGTCCTTCCTTGTTATTTGACTGCATTTTTGTTTAAAAAGAAAGGGAAAAATAAAGACAGATATCTGGCCTGGTGTGAATCAAGGAAACYAGCATGCATTGAAAACTGAAATACCTTAAAAGCTGCAGTATCTATTTTCAACAGTTAATCCATGAAAAGGAAAGGTGTGGCCAGTTCCTGCGGGAGAGGGCAGAGCCCACGTGCTGCACGGCAGGAACCCATCATGCCCATAACACCCAGCTCCGTGTCTGCGCTGCGCAGGCTGGCACAGCGTCCAGCCAAACACAAATATTCCAGCCTAAGAACTTTACAACGCGGAACCTTTAACTGCTTTGAAAATTTTCTGCAGCACTTCCATAAACACAGGCATGAAGTGGCCCTGTGCAATGCTGTGATGCAGTGACGRTGCCCAAGCAAATAAAATACATTTGACCAAAAAACGTATCATCTGAACACGAAAACTGCTTCATCTGAACACGAAAAATGTTTCGTCTGAACACGAAATGCGACAGTCCCGCGCTCCTCCCTCGCCCCGCACTCACCCTCCTCCTTGCGCCGCTTCATCACCTTCATGCCGGTCAGCAGCCCCCCGCCCAGCACCACGGTGGCCGCCAGCGACCGCCAGGACACGAGCTGCGGGGGACAAGGGGTTTGGTGACCGCGCAGGGCACGGG